ACACACCTGACCACGTGTAAAAAGTATGAAGGATAATCGTTCTACTTGAAGTTGGAAAGTTGGAAACATCCGATAATAGTTTGCTCCCAAACAAGACACACAATAGAACAATGGGATGCAACCACATGGCATTAAACAATCAACAACCCCACACCCCAATATTAGGACAGATCACCCTGTAACCCTAACAGGCACAGGGTGACTTACACATAAGAGGGATATGGGGAGCTGAGACAGGGGTCTCCCGACCTCTCCAAAGTGAGCTGTGTTCCATGGGCCCCCCACTCCTGTCACAACTCCCTTCTATAGATACCATGTATAGATGACTTTACTTCTAGAGATCTCAGCAATCTCCACCCAATCTCGGCTGATCCATGAGCCTTTCCGCTTTGTGACTGAACTGTGTAATAACACGTTCCTACATTAGGTCCAGGCTATGGAAAATCTCAGATGTGTGAGGTCTAATTAAAGTCACTTGTCCAAACTCCCCTCCATCCATTGTGGGTGAATTTGATTACATGTTTGAAATTTGGATGGTTTTGTTTAAGCCTAACAAGTGTTTTATTCTGTTTGTTGGTCTTCCTTGTTTATATCTTTGCTATCATTAAAAAAGAAAAAAATAGGATTTCGTTTCTACAATGTCAACGCTGAAACGGGGTCAAGTAATTAAAAAAAAAAAAAAAAAAAAAAAAAAAAAAATATATATATATATATATATATATATATATTCTTTTTTTAATTACTTGACCCTGTTTTAGCATTGACATTGTTGAAACCAATGAATAGATTTTATATATTTTTTATATATATATATATATATATATATATATATATATATATATATATATATATATTTGCATTTACAGTTAAGTCAAAAGCTTCAGAATAATTGCCACACTTCTTCAGGATTATAAATATAAATGGCCCCATACCACCCCCCTCCCTCCAGCTATCTGCTACAGGGTCAAGAATTTAAAGCAAAACATCCATTGCAGGCCAACTATATCCATTGGTTGGAATGGAACAAAATTAATTACCTGCTTCTGTTTAGGAGATATTAAGCTAGATTGCTCTAGAGCAGGGGTGGGCAACTGTGGCCCTCCAGCTGTTGGTGAACTACAAGTCCCATCATGCCTCTGCCTTTGGGAGTCATGCTTGCAACTGTCAGTTTTGCAATGCCTCATGGGACTTGTAGTTCTACAACAGCTGGAGGGCCACAGTTTCCCACCCCTGCTCTAGGGAACTTGCTCGCTAGCTTATACCTCGTTCAGACGTGCAGGTGATGGGTAGTAAAAACATACAGTTGAGCCACAGTTTTATCCCCTCCTCCACTGGCCAGCTGCCATATTAGTACACATCATAGCAGTTATGGAGCAAAGTAATTTATACAACCGGTCCCGTTTGGCAGGCAGTGCCGACACCGAATGCCTGCCATGCTATAACATCATGCTACTGATACTTATTGCTCTTCTGCAATAGGAAAAACATACCTGCCTGCTGGCAGACTTCTGTCATTGTGCACTGAGCTGCATGTGCCCAGCTCAGCATTCATTCTAGGCACAGTGCCAATGTGGCGGTATGACTGACTCCCATGCGCATGCCATGCCGGCCAATGAAGAGGCCGAAAACCCAAAACCTGGAGAGAAGATGTGGAGGGATCCAAGAGCCACACAGGATCTCAATGCAGATGATTAACCCCTTAGGTTCCACAGTGAGTATAACAAGCAGGGCAGCACAGTGGCTAAATGATTAGCATTTCCACCTGGTAGTAGTCAGGTTGTTGGTTAGAATCAACTGATGATGTCATTGGTTGTCAGGATGCCGGAGGCTAGAAGGTCCTAATGGTGCACAATGGAAACCTGTGGCTTTGTGTAACTAAAAGGTGGGCTTGTTCCACCCGCTGGCTTGTATACAAGTTTTGGGCAATTTTATAGACATTTTGCCAATGCACCCCTGAAGAATCCTCAAGGCACCCCGGGGTGCCACCCTGGTTGAGAAAGGCTAGGCTAGTGGTTAGCACTTCCACCTTGCAGTACTAGGATCATTGGTTCAAATCCCAACCACAGCACCACCTGCCTGGAGTTTGCATGTTCTACTTGCTGCTGAGTGGGTTTCCTCCCACCAGGGGCGGACTGACCATTTGGAAACTTGGGCACTGCCCGAGGGCCCGGGGTCAGTAGGGGGCCCCATGAGATGCCCCTGGTACCTTTTTTCATAGGCTTTTTTGAGTGTGGTTTGAATGTGGGCGAGGACAGCCCTGTGATTCCCTATTGCCCGGGGGCCCCATGAGTTGTCAGTCCGCCCCTGGACCCAACCGTTCAATGTCATGATTAGGAGATGTATATTGATAGCGCCAACGAAGGACACAGGGGCCCCATGATCCCCTATTGCCCGGGGGCCCCATGAGTTGTCAGTCTGCCCCTGCCTCCCACACTCCAAAAACATGCTGGTCTGTTAATTGGATCCTGTCCACTGCACCACCTGCCTGGAGTTTGCATGTTCTCCCCGTGCCTGCGTGGGTTTCCTCCGGGTACTCCAGTTTCCTCCCACTCTCCAAAGACATGCTGGTCAGTTAATTGGCTCCTGTCTAAATTGTCCCTAGTATGTGTATGTATGAATGTGAGTTAGGAACCTTAGATTGTACGCCCCTTGAGGGTTAGGGACAGGGACAGACTGACAACTCATGGGGCCCCCAGGAAATAAGGGATCATGGGGCCCCTGTGTCCTTGCCCAAACTCAAAAAAGCCTATGAAAAAGGTACCTGGGGCATCTCATGGGGCCCCCTACTGACCCCGGGCCCCCGGCAGTGCCCGAGTTTCCAAATGGTCAGTCCACCCCTGGTTAGGGACTGATGTGAATGTACAATATATATGTAAAGCGCTGCGTGAATCGATGGCGCTACATAAGTACCTGAAAGAAATAAATAAAATACAGTCCTAGATGTTCCATTCCCCCCACCCAACCACAGCACCACCTGCCTGGAGTTTGCATGTTCTCCCTGTGCCTGCGTGGGTTTCCTCCAGGTACTCCAGTTTCCTCCCACTCTCCAAAGACATGCTGGTAGGTGAATTGCCCCTAGTATGTGTATGTATGAATGTGAGTTAGGACCCTTAGATTGTACACCCCTTGAGGGTCAGGGACTAATGTGAATGTACAATATATAGGTAAATTGACAGCAATATATAAGTACCTGTAATAAATAATGCTTTACTGTATCTATGTTCTGATTTTACTGTTGGGGGATTAGTATTACGTTAATAAAATATGTCGTTTGGCGCAGTTGATCTAATCTTCAGGCCTAAAATGTGCAAAAAATGGAAAGCAAAATAATGACTCCTAGATTGTAAGCTCCAAGGATCAGGGCCCTCCTATCCCTCTTGTATTGAACTGTATTGTTGCTGTATTGTCTCCATTATATTGTAAAGTGTTGAGCAAACTGTTGGCGCCATAAAGCCTGTATAATGGTTGTAATAATAATAATAATAATAATAATAATAATAAATCCTGTATTTTAATATTAATAATAGTAAATCCTGTATAATAATAATAATAAAAATAATAATAAATCCTGTATTATAATAATAATAATAATAATAAAAAATCCTGTATTATAATAATAATAATAATAATAATAAATCCTGTATTATGATAATAATAATAATAATAATAATAATAAATCCTGTATAATAATAATAATAATAATAATAATAATAATAATAAATCCTGTATTATGATAATAATAATAATAATAATAATAATAATAATAAATAATCCTGTATAATAATAATAATAATAATAATAATACATCTTGTATAATAATAATAATAATAAATAATAATAATAATAAAAAATCCTGTATTATGATAATAATAATAATAAATAATCCTGTATAATAATAATAATAATAATAAAAAAAATCCTGTATTATAATAAAAATAATAATAATAAATCCTGTATAATAATAATAAATCCTGTATTATAATAATAAGAATAATAAGAATAAATCCTGTATTATAATAATAATAATGACAACCTTTTATTGTAGGGGAAATTTTGCTTTTTTGTTTTTTTTTGTTTTTTTTTTTTTAAAATAATGATGATATGACTTTTAGGTGGGCCATGTTCCTATGTCTGCTCCAGCTCAAGGGACGTCGTCCCGTGTCTCGTCTATGATCTGGTCCCAAGGGCGTCCAGCGAAGTCCCCATTCAATCGTCACGATAACAGGTTATCTTGGTTGCGGACGGTCCTGCCTTGCATAATGAGAGAGAGAGAGAGAGTCCTGGCAGTTGACTGAAAGGCAAGCCTTGTCAGGAGCTATTTTCTCTTCTACACAGAGGGGATATTGTGCCCCATGATGCCTGAGTGTGGCCTCGGGTTTTGCCAAAGTCCACCTTTTTTCTTCCTGAGACAAAACAGAATACCCCTGCTGTCAGGGCTATCTGGAACTGCTGAAAGGAGATGTATAAGCCGAGCAAGGCTGCCCAGGAGATAATTGTCAAACAGAATAAAAAACACTGCCTATCTACTAGGCCGAGGTACTCAAGCACTGTCAAAACTACAACTCAATGTTCAACAGCCGCTGGCATCTGTGAGGTCTCTTTTTAGCAGTGCTTTAATTCTCTGGTGAAAGAGAGAAGGGGGGAGAGAGAGAGAGAGGGACATTGGAGGAATTCAGAAACTGCGGCTCACACGGAGGGGGGATGAATATAAAGCTGAATAGAAAGTTAAAAAAAAAAATGTCTCTTTTTTTTTTTTTTAACATTAACAGCGTGGTGGGGATTCGGATGAGTCCGGACATTGGACGGTTTTGTTTTCAAAAAGTTCTTTAGGAAATGTCTGGGGGTATTGTGGTCTATAGAAAGATATCCAGGAGATCTCAGAGGAAGATCCTACAGGGCCATCACATGGGTTTCGTGTCTAGGGGCCATGTCTAGAAGCAGCCTTTGAGAAGATGCAGCTCATGATTTGGTGCTTTTTTTTACATGGTTGAACTGGATGGACTTTTGTCTCTTTTTCAGCCAGACTAACTATGTAACTATGTAAGGTGTAAAAAAAATGCTATGAGCTCTATTTTTCTTTTTCTTTTGGGCAGCACAGTGGCTAAGTCAGTGTTCCTCAATTTTTTTTTCAGTCAAGGCACCTATTAAAATTATGGACAGTTCTGAGGCACCCTCTAAAATTATGGACAGTCCCGAGGCACCCTCTAAAATTATGGACAGTCCCGAGGCACCCTCTAAAATTATGGGCAGTCCCGAGGTACTCTTTAAAATTATGGACAGTCCCGAAGCACCCTTTAAAATTATGGACAGTTCTGAGGCACCCTTTAAAATTATGGACAGTCCTGAAGCACCCTTTAAAATTATGGACAGTCCCAAGGCACCCGTTAAAATTATGGAGAGTCCCGAGGCACCCTTTAAAATGATGGACAGTCCCGAGGCACCCTTTAAAATTATGGACAGTAACGAGGCACCCTTTAAAATTATGGACAGTCCCGGGGCACCCTCTAAAATTATGGGCAGTCCCGAGGTACTCTTTAAAATTATGGACAGTCCCGAAGCACCCTTTAAAATTATGGACAGTCCCAATGTACCCTTTAAAATGATGGACAGTACGAGGCACCCTTTAAAATGATGGACAGTCCCGAGGCACACATTAAAATTATGGACAGTCCTGAAGCACCCTTTAAAATGATGGACAGTCCCGAGGCACCCTTTAAAATTATGGACAGTAACGAGGCACCCTTTAAAATTATGGAGAGTCCCGAGGCACCCTTTAAAATGATGGACAGTCCCGAGGCACCCTTTAAAATTATGGACAGTAACGAGGCACCCTTTAAAATTATGGACAGTCCCGGGGCACCCTCTAAAATTATGGGCAGTCCCGAGGTACTCTTTAAAATTATGGACAGTCCCGAAGCACCCTTTAAAATTATGGACAGTCCCAATGTACCCTTTAAAATAATGGACAGTAACGAGGCACCCTTTAAAATGATGGACAGTCCCGAGGCACCCATTAAAATTATGGACAGTCCTGAAGCACCCTTTAAAATTATGGACAGTCCCGAGGCACCCCACACTGGTTTTTTTTTTAATAAAATTGTCATTTAAAAAAAAATGTTAGTCCTGTTGCAGCAGGTTCTATGCATTGTACATATATGCAACTTTGCAGATAGTTTAAGGGGACCCCCCCAGGAATGATATTTAATGGGATTATTCTTTACCTTAAGCAATGAAAAATGACTGCCCCTTTAAAAACAGCACTTTTTTACTTTTTTTTTCACTGATTCATGTCCCTGGCAGTACCGGAGTCCCCATACACCTTTTATGGCCAATACTTTGCATATAAGCTTTCAAAATGGGCACTTTTGAATTTAAAAGTTCGAGTCCCATAGACTTGTGTGACAGGAGTCACTTTGGGTGGGGGGCCCATGGAACACAGCTCACTTTGGAGAGGTGGGGAGACCCCTGTCTAATCTCCCCATATCCCTCTTATGTGTAAGTCACCCTGTGCCTGTTAGGGGTACAGGGTGATCTGTCCTAATATTGAGGTGGGGGGTTGTGGATTGTTTGGTGTTATGTGGTTGCATCCCATTGTTCTATTGTGTGTCTTGCTTGGGAGCAAACTATTATGGGATGTATGTGTTTTGGCTTGGTTGGGGGTGTCTCCAGCAGCCCTCCTGATGAGACTGTCTGCTGGTGTGTCTCTTGTTACTAAATATAGATTGCCCCCCCCCCGTGTCATTATGCAGGGAGGGGGGATTGTCCCCTTGAGTGTATATATCTTGTGTCTGTGTTAAAATAAAGTAGTCTATTTCCTGGTTTACTTCAAGACTGGTGGCGTCTAGTCTTGTATGGTTGGCTGTGGTGTCCATGGTCAGTATTCGGACAGGGAAGCGGTACAACTTGCTTTAAGTTCATGGTCGAACATTCATCAGGTTCAAATGTTTGACTGCGAACAGAACATGGGGGTGTTCGGCCCATCACTACTTCCTGCCAGAGACTCACAGCATATCTGGGCATGCATGGAGAACATTGGAGATCTCCCTGGCAAAGACTGGTGGAATGTTTGCGTATGCATGGAAAAACTCAAACATTTCCTTAGCAGAGACTGAAGGCATGTCTGTGCAAGACTCAGGGATCTCCCTCTCAGAGAATCATGCTATGTCTGCACATGTATGGAGAACCTAGGTTATCTGTAATTGCTGAAGCGTGGGTGGGGGGGAGGGGGTTGATGTTGGGGCTATCAGAAGGTTTTTTGAAGGTCTACTTTGTTGTCCCAGCTGTCCTTCAACTAGGTCCCACTGCCGACCCTAAGAGTACATCAACACTTGACTTTTATAATACTGACTGCTCCTTTATTTTATTTATTATAGATATGCCATCAATTTACGCAGCGCTTTACATATATATATATATATATATATATATATATATTGTACATTCACATCAGTCCCTAACCCTCAAGGGGCGACCAATCTAAGGTATCAAGGATTTGTAGCCTAGTATAAGAGAGCAGTGTATTTCTAATATTGCCAAGTGGCGGATCTCATCTTATCTTTAATATATACATTTTCCAGGAAGGACAGGAGACTGGCCCCTGACACTTTGAAGTGTTTGCCGTTGACTGGTATCCATGATTTATTTTCGCTAAGTAGCCGATTTCCTTTTTTTTTTTTTTTTTAAGGCCATTCAGTCCTGACACTAGAAAACTGATTGAGATCAACCTGAGAAATGAAAATAAGTGAGCTCATGATTCCAATGTGATTTATAGGGAGGCTCTGGTTGGCTTTGTTTTGGAGGAAAGCTTTATGAATGATAAGTTAATTTTTCTGGAGTGCTGGATCTGACGGTGGAGCGCCAATTGCTCTCACTCCTCACCAGCAAATGGCAAACAGCCAACCGTAGCGTACTCAGATGATGTCAGGTTATCAATTTATTTATTTTGTCTGGGAAATCTCTGCTTAAGAATGATTTACTGATTTCAGTTTCAGCATTTATGAATGTCTTGGAGCACAGACTACAGGAATGTTTTAAAGGGGCCAAAAAATACATATTGCAATGCCTTGGATGTGTCTATTAGGCAGACGGTGAAGAGGCAGGAGAAAGAGAAGACATGACAACAAACACCAGGGTTTGCTTCATTGGGCAGATATTTACGGCTCACACTGGCATGGAGTAAATTGGTACAGGACCCCTTCTGAGGTCACTTGGATGGCCCATGGTCCATTTATGGTCCAGTGTGGTTCCACCAGTGTGCAGGATCTAACCAGAATGCCTCCTAGTTTATCAACTTACAGTGGGTATGAAAAGCTGGATTACATGCCACACTGTGATGCCACTGTCCTAATAGGCAGGTAGATGGCAGTGAACTGGTCCAAAGGTCTTTGCACCCCTTCTGAGGTCACTTAGATTGCCTATGGTCTATCTATGGTCCAATGGAGGTTCATCGGTGAGCAGAATATAATGGAAATCCTACTTTATCAACTTGCAGAAGGTGTAAGTATGGGATTACATGCCATCCTGTGATACCACTCTCCTAATTGGCAGGTAGATGGCATGGAGTGAACTGGTTCAGGGGTCTTTGCACCCATTCTGAGGTCACTTAGCTTGCCTATGGTCTATTTATGGTCCAGTGGAGGTTCATCGGTAAGCAAAATCTAATGGGAATCCTACTTTATCAACCTGCAGCAGGTGTAAAAAGTTATGAGGTGGGATTACATAACACCCTCTGATGCCACTGTCCTAACAGGTAGGTAGATGGCATTAAATTAAAGGGTACAGGGGTATTTGGTCCCCTACTGAAGTCACAGAGATGGCCCATGGTAAATTTAGGGTCCATTGGTGGTCCATCAGTGAGCAGGATCTAACAAGAATCCTACTTTAGGTAGATAGCATGGAGTGAACTGGTTCAGGGGTGTTTTGACTCTTCTGAAGTCACTTGGATGGCCCATGTCCATTTATGGTCCAATCGAGGGCCATTGGTGAGCACGATATAATGGGAATCCTACTTTATCAACTTGCAGAAGGTGTAAAATGTTAGGGGGTGGGATTATATGCCATCCTGTGATGCCACTATCCTAATAGGCAGGAAGATTAAGGCAATGACATGTCAGGGGACATAAAATCCAACATTACACTCCCAGTCCATAAAAAAGGGATCACTATTAGATCCTAATCTCTCATGGTCCAGAGGTTTCTAAATGACAGGGAAATGCTCACGCTTTCTGATAGGTGAGTTGCCCACGCTCCATATTGGTGATTATTGTAATGGGCAGCTTCCCTGTCCAATAGGTTTGCTGAAGAGCCTGGTAGGGAAAAGCTAATTTCGAACTCTACAGGAAATTTCAAGTGTTAATCATAAGTGTAGCTGCCTATATGTCTGGTCTTCTCGTGGTTTTGGCATGCAGCTTTTTCTTGCTCAGTTTAATATGCACAGGTCTGTGATGTAAAGTGTTTCTAAACAGCATTGTCACCAGAGACGAGGAAGTGTGTAAGAACTACAGAACACCTATCCCCTCTCCTCAACTCCATAACATGAGAGAGGGGTGGTGACCAGTAATTCATAAAAGTGAACTGGGCAAATCTGATAAAACTACTTTCAAGAGCATTGCAGAGTTCACATGAATTTGCAATGTCACTGGATTCTGGCAGAATCAAACACTACAGTGAAGGGTTCAGGGAACTCAAGGCTCTGCTGATTGGATCCCACAATAGTGTCCTTAAAAATAAAGTGCTCACCTTCGACTCAGCACTGCCCCCCCCCCCCCCAAGCCCACTTTATTCTGCTGATCAGTGTAAATAACCCCACTTTCTGAAAGTCCATGCGGTCATGAACACCCCCTCTCGTGATCGTAGAGGCCTGGTAGTCCTGGACTGTCAAAGCAAGATCCTTTCAGTCCAGGAGTAAGGACTGCTGTCATGTTCCACATGATTGTCATATGCCTTTAAGTGTTCTTTATATTTTGTCTCTGCTCCTCCCTTTCCTCTGGTTTAGTTAATGCTGTATAGATAAACCCCACCCCTTTTCCCAAAAATGCATTGCAGCTTCTAGCCTCATGTCTTATGGAAGCAGATCACATTATGATTTTTTTGATCTATCAGATGTTCATTGTTGTAAGATTCACTTCACAAGATCTACAAGATGTCTTCTGGATTGAGTCACTGCCTGCGTCATTCAACTAAGATTGGAGTTATCGCTATCTCATCACAACTGTAAGTTACAGAGATCGCACTTTCAATGCTTAGATTGGAGAGACAGAACAACTGCCCACTGTCAATATATATATATATATACATATATATATATATATATTATGTATACATATATAGTATGTAGTGTTCATTTTTGGCCAGAACATGCTGGTACTCTGTTTCAGCAGCAATCTGCCAATTGTAAATATAGAAGCCGGTACTTGCTTCATCTGACGGCTTCTCTGTTTACAATGACAATGTACCTCTCCATTGGCTCTCTAGCATTTACTTTATCCCTGCAAAATTTGGACTTAAATGTTTGGTGCTAAAACCCTAAATAATAACCATTGGTTCAGAGAAAGCAGTACTTCACATTGTTCAGTGCTCAGTGACTGATGCCATTACATGCCAATTCCAAGTGTAGTCCACATGAGGTCTCATGACCCAATCCATTCCTGACCTCTCTGCATTTCAACCAA